TTAATAATAAATGATTTTTATACACATGACTTACACTATCATCTGGTCCCACTACACTCAGCTGGAGTCTTCAAAATATCTTACGCTTATATTCTAATATTGTGGTTGTTTATAATGCTTCTATTAGTTGCAAATTTGCTTTCAAATGCACCAGTCAACGCAAATCATCTATACGATTAAACATTTCTTTTTTTTTCACTTTGCATTGTATTGTTAATGTTAAAAAGAGCGATCTCATAAATAAACTAAGTAAGGATATGTATGTAGTGATGTGTTCCTTGGCTAGAGGGACTCCCTGTATGAACACGTCCAGAACCCTTCCCATCCCCTCGCTAGACTGTAAGTTTGTAGTGGTGAACTTAATCCTCATATGAGTGAGTCAAGCTCTGGTTATGCTGCAGGATAGATACTAGTGACGGTGGAAATACCCGCACATAGAGGGCAGCCATACCCCTGGCTGCTATACTGCAAGATAGTCACCACGGTAACCCCCAGTATGCCTGCGTCCAGGACTCTCCCTCACTATTTTTTCTTTCAGGATACTAGTGACGGAGGAGGTTTTTCGAAGAAGTTTTCATCAGACTGTTGAGGTTGTCACTGTCAAAACTGAGTGAGACGTGATGACTGACACTTGTCTTCTGATATATTATAGCCACGACACACTAGTTTCAATGTTACTTTGTCTTTATATTACGATTTTATTTGTGAATAAATTGATTTTTATATAGATCAGAGACAAATATATGCACCTGTGTGTTTTTTAGCCATGTACATTCAGGCATGGTAGAAATGGTATGTGATACAGACAGGTTGTTGAAAAAAAAATGCGAACATTAGGACATTTCTGACTCAAGTAATCGTAATAACACGAGTGCCTTAAAGCTTATAGGCCGGTGCATTAACTGGCTGGCCGAGTAGTTAACACACTGGCTTTTGAGTTTTAGGACACGCTTGCCATGGGTTCAAACCTCCACCTGTTTCATGATCTATTTACTAGGGCATTTCACTGGGAACGTTTGAGTCGTGGGACCTCGTTGTTGCAGTCAAATTACTGATGAGGTCGACTCTTCAGCAGATACTCGCGCATATATACTCTCTCCTTAATCATCATGCACTCACAGTGCTGACTCTAAGTACCACTCACACAATGCTAACTACCTGAGCCGGGAAGATACAGCTCCCAGATACTCTCGGTCACAGGGCCGAAACGTTGCCAATGAAAATGTTCCAGTGTTTGCATTTTTATGTCTTTATCCAGCATTCATGACCTCTCGTTGGGCTTATTTATGTAACTGCATTCACCCTATCAGTCTATTTTGCCGGATAAAACGGAGTATTGTCGACTGATGCGAAGACAGACACGGCTGCAGAACAAGCTTTGATTGAGACAACGTTACGTCATTCCCTAATAAAAGCTTTTCCTGCATCTTATGTCGTAATTGCTTGATAGGTGTTGTTCAGTTTGGCACGATCCTCCAGTCAACTTTGTAACAGCATCAACCCTCATGCAACCTCTGTGTCAACCATATTCAACCGGTGTGCTAACCGTGTGTTAACCGTATGTGCTAGCCATGTGCCACCTGTATACTACCCGTATAATGCCCGTATACTACCCGTGTACCACTCATAGTACGTGTCATTGCCTCCATTTTTTTTCACCGCTTCGTTATTGCATAGTGGGTTAGCTTCATGAGAATTCGCTTTATGCGCCATCGGCCAGGAACGCATCTGTCGCATAAAGCGAGGGTTCATGTGAGGCGCAACGCTCGTGTGGGTCTCAGCGCATGGAGTGGTGGAGACTCGACCCTCCGTCCACAGATAGCGAGATAAACTGTTCTCTCGCAGCATGGCTATCACCCCATCCTGCCACCTCTCACAGCCTCAACAACCCTCCAAGCTGATCTCAAGCGAAGGAAATCACTTATGGCTGCGTTTTTTGAGAACCTTATGCCCTTGGATAAGCTCCCACAGCCCCCGAAGGAGAGAGAACTGCAGCTTACCTAGGGTAAGCTCCAACGAAGCCGCTGGGAAAGCCACCTCGGTGATAGCCCTCTGACATCTTCCCCCGTGAGAAGCTGTACAACTTTACGGGGACGACATTTTGGCGAGACTGACTCACTCTGTGGCTAATTACCGGAGAGAAGCGATAGCCGAGGTGACACACCGTGGGAGGTGACACCGCCCACGACCACACCTTGTAAGTTGGCCTGCAGTCATGCAATAGAATTTCACATCTGAGCATTCCAGTTTTCTCATACAGTGGCAAGGTGATTATTATTCTGAGAAATTACAGCGTTAAGTAGAACATCTCGAGAAGTGGACTGTTATAAGGTAAGATAAGATTTTGTTCGGAATTTTAATCCCGGAGGGTTAGCCACACAGGATAGCCTAAGAAAGGCAGTGCGTTATCGAGGGACTGTCTGTCTTGTGTAACAATGTATCGAAGAAGAAGAAGGAAAGAAAATGAAAGAAGAAACAGAAGAAAGAAAATTAATGAAGAAAAAGAAGAAAATGAAAGAAGAAAGAAGAAAACTTTATTCGGATTAGTAACCTGGGAGGGTTAAATAACCTAGGATAATTCAAACTAAGGCGAGAGGCGATTCATTTCCCCTCGGGTCTATCTGAAAGTCCTCCCAGAGGATGAGATCCACAAGAGTCGACTAACTCGTAGATATCTGTTTACTGCTGGTTTGGAAGGACGGAAGGTTTAAGGAGACTTAACAGTTCATCCCGCCTCGTCCAGGGTTCGATCCACATACTTTCGGTTGGGACAAACGTGCTACGTACCAGTGTCGAAGTACACAAATTATCAGACTAGCATATGACAAACAACTTCAGTTAATATCTAACAAATGTAAGATGAATTCCAGCGTCACAGTCTTAGACGTACTTCATTGTGAAAATCTTAGACGTACTCCAGTGTGAACATCTTAGACGTACTCCAGTGTGAAAATCTTAGACGTACTCCAGTGTGAAAATCTTAGACGTACTCCAGTGTGAAAATCTTAGACGTACTCCAGTGTGAAAATCTTAGACGTACTCCAGTGTGAACATCTTAGACGTACTCCAGTGTGAAAATCTTAGACGTACTCCAGTGTGAAAATCTTAGACGTACTCCAGTGTGAACATCTTAGACGTACTCCAGTGTGAACATTTTAGACGTACTCTAGTGTGAACAATTAGACGTACTCCAGCCTCCGTCTCTTGTATGAGATACGAATGAGCACTTATCTAAGTGGTGTCCACCGAGGAAGTGTTTCTTCCACCACTTTAAAAAAAACTTGCAGGCAGACAGGTAAAAAGTAGTAATTTAAGTAATTGCTCGTTCAAGAAGACGGCGCAATATTCATCAGCAGAGTAAACACAGTTATTTATGCCTCAGGAAAGTTTCTCTATTAAAAACTTTTTGCCCCCTTGCATGTGTCGCAGAGAGGGGAAAATGCAGATTTCCAGATGATGATTTAGAGAGAACCTTGATTACGAACGAGAGCAATTTGTTGCTAAGTTGATAAATCTCTGTTGTAGACGTTAGAAAGATGGATGTAGTGAAGACATGTCCGAATCTGTAACTGTAGAACTTCATGCTGATGAAGAAGCGAGCTTAATTTAGAAAATTAAGCTTTACTCACACTGGTGAACCAGACGAAATGCAACTGACGATACTCTTGTAATCAGACGAACCAATTATTGAGATTATATTTATGTAAAGTTTTAAACGCGCAACTAAAACCAAATTCTCGTAGCCAGATTTCCATCCCAGATGTTCCAAATAATACCACAGCTAGACCAGGTGACGATGGAATCCTGATTCAGCAGACACAAGGATTTCCAGCTTGAAAACGAAATTCATGCAGCAGATCGTTGATGCCGAGCAGTGCCCTTGAAGGCTCGAGTTGAGCTGAATTGGTTCATCACAGGCAAAGAGCTGGGGGTGTTGATTCACTCATGTTGATATCCATTTGCTCAATAATGTTAGACTGTAAACACTAAGGTAATGCTGTTCTGGTTCCCCGTGATTGTCACAGCCAAGTCAAGTAGATAGTGACCAAGTAGTTCGGATGACGGTGTCCTGTCCAGTACTCTGCCACTTGTACACTACCTGTCTTATACACAGTCTCACCTGTACACCGTCTGTCCCTGACACACCCTGTCTTACACACTACCTGCTTGTCTAACATGTTACACAAGTAGCGGAGAACCTATCAGGAGCACAAGCCTCCCTCAGCACCACTTGCACCAACACTCGTTTCATCATCCTTCTCTCTCCCACGCACACACACACACATATACACAATAGCCACCTCTCTTATGTACACTGTCCTCGGAAGCCATCCATAAGTTGTACTTTTAAAACGTAGCTCTTTACCCAACTAGTTTAGTGTCAGGCGACACCAAACTAGTTGGTACGACGCTCTTATAAATGCACACAAGTAAGGTGTACATAACAACGGAGCATTAAATTAGGAATACCGGCAATAGGACACAAGAGTTGATAAGCATCACAACAGGTATACTGACCCATGCTCAATGACTCCACCCTTCAGTGTGCTCACACATCAGTAGCTCTCTCGCCAAATGAGTACTTCCCCCCCCCCCACATTGTTTATATATCCGAATTAATCTACCTTAAATCCGTCAAACTCATGAGTAACGTTTGACGAAGACCTAAGATTTCTTTCTTCTTCTTTTAGTTGGTCAATTATCTTCCTCAGCTTTTGTCAGATGTAAGAAGAACATCATTCAACTGAGGCGAGATATTCTGGCTTATAACACAGAGTAAGAACATTGCTGTTATCGTCCTCTGCTGTGTGTTGTTGCGTCCCATCAATACTTCAGCGTCTTTCACATTCATTTTTATGGTTCCACTGTTCTTATGTGCTGAAATACTACATCATTATTATTACCCCCAAGTGTTACACTTGTCACAGTCGCCGCATGGAATATTGTCGATGCCAAGGCTCATCTGGGTATCTTCCGAAAATCTTATATATTGCTCATATGGCCTGTGTATAGTTGAAATATATATAATATATATATATATATATATTATATATATATATATTTTATATATATATATATATATATATATATATATAATATATATATATATATTACATATGTATGTATGTATACGTATACATATAAGTTAATTTGTTAGCACATACAGTATGTTACAATGTTTTGCAGTAATCTTAATCAACAATATTTACGCTTATATATGGGATTTACTTATTAAAATTAGTAATACTAGTTACAGTATTTGGTTGACATCATACTTCACAAATTTTGTATTTTTGTAACAAAAAGAAATATTGACTGAAATAAAAGAACAAAAACAGATCAACATGTCTACATATCCTTGTTGCTCACATTTAGAAATCCGGCGCCATTACGGATGCCTGTCTTCAGCGGCCCGTGTGACGTATAACGGAGTTTTATACATGGTTATAAATGACCATAATTTTTACAGGGGTGGACCAGTAAGCCAACGGAAGGCCTCGATCAGATGACCAAAAGCTCCAAAGGCGGGTCATCATCTGACTAAGACTAGCATTAGGAAACACCTGTCCTGTTTCCTGACAAACCTTACCTAACCTAACGGAGCTCTGATGGGTGTCTCTCAGTCTTCGGTCTTCTATATAACTTCGTACGAGGCTGTGTTGGGTACCTGTCTAACCGGTACTCTTTATAGTGCACAGCTTTGGTGGGTATCTATCTGTCTTCAGATCTCTGTATTGAGGTTTTGTAATGACTACATTAAATTTAACTGAATTACGCAATGATAAATCATAAGATTTATAGCTTTGCCTGGTGAACAGTCTCTCCCAACCCTGGAAATGATGAGAAAATCTTACAAAAGCCTCGCCATGTACTTGTATTTGGGGCTGAGTGTGAGTAATCAGCGGCAGTGCCAAGTACCTCCCATGGTAAGTAAGTAAGTTTATTCAGATATACATAAATGCAGTTACATAGATTATACATAGCAGCATATGTGTCGAGAACCTGGGATAACCCAAAAAAGCTAGACTGACTTATTTCCACTGGGATCGATGGATCCCAGTGGAAATAAGTCACTTGGTTTAGCTTTTTAAAGTTATCCCAGGTAATATACACACATTTTACCATGTAAAAAAAATTGTAATCATACAAAAATTGTGAATTTCTGCCTAACTAAACTTCGTTATTTACGTACTTACCTACTTATTTACTTACTTGCTTATTAATTATTGATTCATTGGGTATATTAGGATAATTAAGATCGCTATATAATTCTTCAAGGATACTAAAGGTCGTCCCCAAGGGATGTAGGAGCCTTGATGCCAGTGAGGAAAGGAAGGGGGCAAGTAACTGGATTTATCCTACCTCTCCATATTTCACGTCTAGTTGCCTCGTATTCTATCAGGATCTGAATGAATTCTACGAGTTTAGCGCTCCTCCCATCCCTTGAATTTAATAACAACAATGGAGAAGTCCTGGGTTCAGTCCGCGGGTGATGTGAGATATATTAGCAAATCTACTTACATTTAACGCCAGTCGTCACATAGCAGCTTAATAGGCTGTTGTGGGTGGCATCCTGGGGAAGAAGACATTTGGACTTCACAGGAAATAAACCACACGACTTGGCTTTCCTAGCTTGTAGTGGGTTAATACTCCAGGCCAGGAACTATCCTAAGAAAATCTTCAACTTCGCCTCATTTATGAGTTTTCTGCCATTTTCATCATTGTGGAAACTCATCGTATTAGTAGTAAGCTATACCGATGATGATGATGATGATGATGATGATGATGATGATGATGATGATGATGATGATGATGATGATGATGATGATGATGATGATGATGATGATGATGATGATGATGATGATGATGATGATGATGATGATGATGATGATGATGATGATTGATGTTGATGTGATCATTATGTGTGGGTGTTGTTGGAGTTGTGTAATTTCCACCTAGTTTGTACTCACCTAGTTGAGGTTGCAGGGGTCGAGTCCAAGCTCCTGGCCCCGCCTCTTCACTGGTCGCTACTAGGTTACTCTCCCTGAACCATGAGCTTTATCATACCTCTGCTTAAAGCTATGTATGGATCCTGCCTCCACTACATCGCTTCCCAAACTATTCCACTTCCTGACTACTCTGTGGCTGAAGAAATACTTCCTAACATCCCTGTGATTCATCTGTGTCTTCAACTTCCAACTGTGTCCCCTTGTTGCTGTGTCCAATCTCTGGAACATCCTGTCCTTGTCCACCTTGTCAACTCCTCTCAGTATTTTATAAGTCGTTATCATGTCCCCCCTATCTCTCCTGTCCTCCAGTGTCGTCAGGTTGATTTCCCTTAACCTCTCCTCGTAGGACATACCTCTTAGCTCTGGGACTAGTCTTGTTGCAAACCTTTGCACTTTCTCTAGTTTCTTTACGTGCTTGGCTAGGTGTGGGTTCCAAACTGGTGCCGCATACTCCAATATGGGCCTAACGTACACGGTGTACAGGGTCCTGAACGTTTCCTTATTAAGATGTCCGAATGCTGTTGTGAGGTTTGCTAGGCGCTCATGTGCTGCAGCAGTTATTTGGTTGATGTGCGCTTCAGATGTGCCTGGTGTTATACTCACCCCAAGATCTTTTTCCTTGAATGAGGTTTGTAGTCTCTGGCCCCCTAGGCTGTATTCCGTCTGCGGCCTTCTTTGCCCTTCCCCAATCTTCATGACTTTGCACTTTGTGGGATTGAACTCCAGGAGCCAATTGCTGGGCCAGGTCTGCAGCCTGTCCAGATCCCTTTGTAGTTCTGCCTGGTCTTCGATCGAATTAATTCTTCTCATCAACTTCACGTCATCTGCAAACAGGGACACTTCGGAATCTATTCGTTCCGTCACGTCATTCACAAATACCAGAAACAGCACTGGTCCTAGGACTGACCCCTGTGGGACCCCGCTGGTCACATGTGCCCACTCTGACACCTCGCCACGTACCATAACTCGCTGCTGTCTTCCTGACAAGTATTCCCTGATCCATTGTAGTGCCTTCCCTGTTATCCCTGCTTGGTCCTCCAGTTTTTGCACCAATCTCTTGTGTGGAACTGTGTCAAACGCCTTCTTGCAGTCCAAGAAAATGCAATCCACCCACCCCTCTCTCTCTTGTCTTACTGCTGCCACCATGTCATAGAACTCCAGTAGGTTTGTGACACAGGATTTCCCGCCCCTGAAACCATGTTGGGTGCAGTTGATGAGATCATTCCTTTCTAGGTGTTCCACCACTCTTCTCCTGATAATCTTCTCCATGACTTTGCATACTATACATGTCAGTGACACTGGTCTGTAGTTTAGTGCTTCATGTCTGTCTCCTTTTTTAAAGATTGGAACTACATTTGCTGTCTTCCATGCCTCAGGCAATCTCCCTGTTTCGATAGATGTATTGAATATTGTTGTTAGGGGTACACATAGCGCCTCTGCTCCCTCTCTCAGGACCCATGGAGGGATGTTATTCGGCCCCATTGCCTTTGAGGTATCTAGCTCACTCATAAGCCTTTTCACTTCTTCCTCGGTTGTGTGTACTGTGTCCAGCACTTGGTGGTGTGCCCCACCTCTCTGTCTTTCTGGAGCCCCTTCTGTCTCCTCTGTGAACACTTCTTTGAATCTCTTGTTGAGTTCCTCACATACTTCACGGTCATTTCTTGTTGTCTCCCCTCCTGAGTGTGTGTGTGTACTCACCTAGTTGAGGTTGCAGGGGTCGAGTCCAAGCTCCTGGCCCCTTTGTAGGTGTGGTGTGTGGTTGTTAGAGTGTGTGTGTGTGTGTGTGTGTGGTGTGTGGTGTGTGTGTGTTTGGTGTGTGTATGTGGTGTGTGTGTGTGTGTGTGTTGTGTGTGTGTGTGTGTGTGTGTGTGTGTGTGTGTGTGTGTGTGTGTGTGTTGTTGTGTGTGTGTGTGTGTGTGTGTGTGTGTGTGTGTGTGTGTGTGGAGTTTTTTCTTTTTACATTAGTTACCACTTAACTTGAAAATGACAACCAAAATTAATGATCACGTCGTTAATCTTCATTTCAGCTTTTCCTCCTTATTTCCTCCATGATCTCCTTCCCCTCCCCTCCTCTCCGTCTCTCTCTCTCTCTCTCTCTCTCTCTCTCTCTCTCTCTCTCTCTCTCTCTCTCTCAAACATGAGAGACAGGATAAGAGTGAAGGATGGAGGGGAGAGAGAGCTCCTGACTAACTGAAGTTTTAGTTGCACTGATTTCCTGGTAAAATCACACGGGTTTGCACACGGGTACAGAAGAGGTTGGTGTTGAACTTTGTACAGCACGTGTAGGTACCTTTGTGATTCAGCAAACTTGAATAATTAGTTCCGGAGCAAGTTTGTAGACAGCAAACACGGTCCTGCTGAGCTAAGAGTAGGGGGGGAGAGGGAACTCTTTGTTCCTCTTGTTGACTGCCTGAGGGAAGAGGTCTGATGGGGTGGAGTTGGGTGTGGTTGGTGGGTGGTAGGGCGTGGTTGTATTAAGGTATGGTTGATTAGGGTGTGGGTGTGGTTGTATTTCACAGTGTGGTTGGTGTGTGGGCGGACTTGGTGGGTGGTAGGGCATGGTTGTTGTAGTGTGCGGTTGTTGTAGTAGTGTGTGTGGTTTGTGTATGTGTGGTTGTAGTAGTGTGGTTATTGTAGTAGTGTGTGGTTGTAGTAGCGTGTGGTTGTTGTAGTAGTGTGTGGTTGTTGTAGTAGCGTGGTTGTAGTAGCGTGTGGTTGTTGTAGTAGTGTGTGGTTGTAGTAGTGTGTGGTTGTTGTAGTAGTGTGTGGTTGTAGTAGTGTGTGGTTGTTGTAGTAGTGTGTGGTTGGTGTAGTGTGTGGTTGTAGTAGTGTGTGGTTTTTAGTAGTGTGGTTATTGTAGTAGTGTGTGGTTGTTGTAGTAGCGTGGTTGTAGTAGCGTGTGGTTGTTGTAGTAGTGTGTGGTTGTAGTAGTGTGTGGTTGTTGTAGTAGTGTGTGGTTGTTGTAGTAGTGTGGTTGTTGTGGTAGTGTG